TTAAAATGCTGTTTCTGTCTTCTATCTTCCCTGTGCCTGTGGTTGTACCTTTTATCTCGGCTGCCTTCCCGGTGTTGCGCATAGTAAACGTCACGCCCACCAGAATCTGACTCATGAGAAACACGTTAAAAATAATATACATCTTCTTATGTAACACTATCTCCTGAGAAAAAAAAAAAATTGGAATTTGTTTGTGATATATTTTTCTCATTCGCATTCGAGCAAACATCAGGCATAATGAAAAATATAAATGATATATGACATTGTGATATGTCAGATATAATTTTCTTTTTTTGGTCTTTGCGATGCATATGGATATTCTTATTAGGTCATAAAGTTTTAGTCACTGGTGTTACTAATTTGTGCAATCAATAGCACACTTTGTAAGATGAAGTAATGCGAATAGATAGAGTATGTCATAATCAGTATTAAAAAATTAGATCATGTTTATAACTATACTTTTACTTAGAGAGTTAGAAGCATATACGATTATAACAATATGTTAGTACATTGTATGTAGTAATAATTTTCAACATGATTGTACACTGTTTAAAATGTTGTCCTCATGGGCTTTTGGCCTTCAGGATATTTTATGAAATAAAACTTTGAAAACATGATGTGATTGACGAACAATTATTTTAAGTTTAAGGCAGATACCATTTATAGTTACAAAGAAAAAAATTGAAAAAAAAAGTTTTTAAATAAATTTCAAGTTCAAAACGAAAATACACATGTTATCATGGAAGCACAGGCGCTACACTTATAAAACTAATCACATATAATGTAGGTGTTGAAAGCGAACATATATTTTAAATTTGAAGTAAATCCATGTTGAAATAAGAAAGTTAATTAACGGATAAGGAAAATTCAAAGTTTAAGGAGGAGATAATTCTGGAAATATGGACGCTAGATTAATCTTGTCATATTATTATAACATGGGAGTTTGAAGTTAATATTTTTAGAAATGAAGAAGTTTGTGTAAAAAATAATGATTTCTAGAAAAAAAATCAGAACATCGTCCGTTAAAATATTGTTAAAGAACCTGTATGTTTTGTAATTGAGATTGCACACCACTCTTCATTGAATTATATATGTATGTAAGTATGCAAATTTGTCAATTTTCAAACATGGAAGAATATGTAAAATATGTATTGCAAATATTTGTACATATTTAAGGTAATCATTAAATTATATGCATTAATTTCTTATTGGAAAAATTGACTTAGATTTTTTTTATAATTACCTCCCTTTATTTACATGAAATATTAAATTCGGTAATATCTTTATAAATAATGTTTTTTGAAACTTACAATATCGATAAATCTTAATTTGAGCATCATAATTTGTATATAAAACCATAAAAATAATGTGTTACAGGATCTTTAACAGCGTTTTTTTAAACCGTACCGATACATATTGTGAACAGTTTTCCTTGTTTTTCTTCATTTAAAGACCTGTTCCATTAAATATATATTGTGAATATTTTCCCCTAAGTTTTCATTCAAAGACATGTTCTTGTTCAAGGCAATATGACGAACTTAAATGCTGTAAAATCGAATCGTTTCTATACGCAATTATTTGTAGTATACAAGATTTTTCAAAAATGAAACAAAATGCTTCCGAAAGGACTGAAAATGTGAACAACATATCTTTTTATTCAACCATGTATTCGATGCTTAAAGTTCACAATTTATTGTCTTTTTTTTTATTTTGTGAGCGGATAAATGTCAAAGATAAACCTGCAATTACATGTATATTCTAAAACGAAATAGATTTATCTCAATCATTACTTATCTCTTGTGTTTACGTCTATCATTATATACATTATATAAAATCTATATATATAATATTATATAATGTGAGTATCTCAGATAATTGCCTAGATCTACTTTCATCATACTATTTCAAAAATGTTAGATCGTTTGTGAATATATTAAAAAAATATAACACTGAAACTTCAAAAGCAGTCTGGTAGAGCGTAATTTTGATACAAATTGGTGCAAAATTAACAGACGATTTTATCAACAAAATAACAACAAAAACAACAACAAATACTGAAATAACATTTAATATGTTCTGAACTTCTGAAAATGTACTCGTAAGCTTTAATTGAATGTTTTATCTAACATACTATATCTAATGCCCACTTAATTTCAGCAATTTTGTTGGGTGTAGGCGCTAGCTAAAATGACCTAATGTTTTCTGAAACATGCATTAGATGTTAGTTGCATTGCATTTAAAGCACCACGCCTCCAGACCCATGCTAATTTTTATGAAAATTTTGAAAATGTGCTTTAAAGTATCATTTAGTGAAATAACCAAAAGGAAGCAATTTACACATTATCAAAGGCAGTTACAACCCACGTACATAACAAAAAAGAGGATACAGTATGCAAAAATTGCCCTTACTGCATTTGTAACGCAGTAGAAATCTATAGTTATAAATACTGAAAAATCAATTATTAATCGCACATAAAATGTAAATTATTACAAGAATCTTGAATATTTTTACTTTTCCTGAAATTTCAGTGCATTTTTCTCAATTTTGATTTTATTGAAATATTTTCGTACATGCACTTTTAAATGCTTTAATAAAAATAGAATTGATTTGAGATTAATACACAAAGCTGGCATACATGTTTTCTTTTTCCATTTTCTATGTCAGGCGCGAATCCAGGGAATATTAAGGTGAAACATTTGACTTGCGGAGTTTTGCAAGTTTTTTTTTTGTGCGTGATTTTCTCTAAAAATATGTTGATAGTCAAATCCTTGAGGGGTTCCAGAGCCCCATCTTGATCCTCGCAAGCACTTTATAGTAAGGGGTTACATTTATAAAACATATTTTTACTCATTCTGACTAATGTTAATATTCTATTCTTATTTATTTCCCCCACCTTAAAGAATATAATCATAAACCTTTACAGTAGGGTTTGCACCACGTCATATTCCAATCGTAATCATACTTGGATCTTTTCATATTAGCCTTGTTTACTTTTCCAGAATCCAAAAAAAAAAACCACATATGGTTAGCCATATTGTATGCATATTACTAGTATACCCCATAGAGCTTTTTTAATATTTAGAGTCCAAAACATCTATATTAAGTGAATTGGTCTAAAATAGAATGTCTTTAAAACTTTAAACTCGTTGAATAAAATAATATTATGCTCACCAGAGGCTCGCATAATATGATTTTATTCAGCTCGTGCAATAAATTCAGTATTGAACTTACACTCATTCAATATCCTCTATATAGCATATAATATTGTGTTCATATAAATGTTCATACTAAATCTCTAAGAACTCTATCTGCATTTTTTTCAAACAAAATATAATATAATATAATACAATACAATACAATACAATACAATACAATACAATATCCATGAAATATGGTGCTATATCAGTCAAATATATTTCGTGAAAATATGTGGCATTTTATCAGGTTTCGTGAAAATATATTCCATATTTCACGAAAAACGAAAAAATACCCCCTTCATACAATACAATACAATACAATACAATACAATACAATATTTAAATGTGACCCTTTACATTAAGGATAATGTTCAATTCATGTTAGAGTATATTAAAACATTAGGATGTAGATACTCGTACATGGCAAATTGTACAAAAATAATCGAAAAATACTTGCAACGTATTTCTGACATTTAGAATAATTTGATATCAAAATGTATAATAATTGTTATAGGGGACATTACAAAACAGCCGCGTTTAGGATATTCGGAATAATTATTATTGACATCCTTATTTGATGGATAAGTTTGACAATATAAGTAATATAACTAGAACACATCTTTCGATTGATTGTATATTGGCAGTCGAGCATTTTAAAGTTTATCATGTGTAAAAACTTTTTGTTTACTTTCATACATTTTAAATGGCACAATGATATATGGTTCGTAAATAAAAACAAAAAAGATAATTATGTATCGCAAAGAGACGTTTTTATCTATCTTGTGTTATTCCTCTTTATTTAACACCTTTATAATGTAACCAATTAAATTTCAGCATTTTCACCATGATTGTAATCTCCTGATATGAATAATTTTTGGATCCAATCCATTCAATTTAGACTCTTTTCATTTCCTGAGAGAATATTAAAAAAATCCATATCGAACCACTTTTATACTTCGTCTAAACCGGATCCAAAACATCAATATCAGATCCCCGTCGTTTTCCGTCTGGTCTAGTTTTGATTTTTTAAGCCTAAAGATTCATATTTAAAGTTACATATAAAACAGAATAGTGCTGGTTGAGTACAGAATTATTTGAATTTGTACATTATTAGACTCGACTAGCACCTCGTCCAATATACGTTAAACAGCTTTGTAAGAGAACATTTGTTTCATAGCACATTTGTCTTACGTAAGACCGATGCGGTCGCATTGGGACCTCAACTGTCTACCTAAAAATCACATTTGTGTGACAAATGTGTTCCGATCATGTAATTCAAGTAACAAGAAAGTATATTTGTCTCTTATCTCGTGACATTTTTTATGAATTAATTGTCATAATTATATTTTCCCACGTCAGAATCTTTTAAGAATCGCGGTCCGGCGTTTTACCTCATGTTAAATGGAATCATCAATAAGTTTTCTAATGCTTTTTTTATGAAATCATAAAGCTAAAAGCTATACTGGAACTATTAATTCTAATATCACTCATTCAAGAACAGTGATTGTCTAAGCATAAAGGTGTACACTGAAACACACGTAATCCCGTGCACGATGGTACAATGGTGAAAGCGCGATGGAACGATATGATACGATGGTGAAAACACGATGGCACGAACGTGAAATAACGATTGTTCCATTGTGAAACACCGATGGCACAATGGCGAAACAACGCTTTTACGTGACAAGGCCAGATAGCCCCACGCTGGTTCCTTTACTACATGTATAGTCAAGGCTTTGAGAAGCACATATATTTTACCAAGAGAAACAAAGGCAAAACATGAAGCGACTCAAACTTTATTTATTTATTTACCGACCCTCATACCATTACTTTATAAATAAGTGCGTTGAATTATTGTCCCACGTCAGATAGCGTTTGTAATACATGCTACATAGTTCGGAAAAGGTACATATTGGACTATTATTTGATTAATTTTTTTTATTAAATTCTTCATTTTTGAGTTTTCATGTTTACAATTAAAAAAGAAATTAAATAAATGAAAAAAGGTTTGTAATGAAATTCTTTATTCTTATTTACCAAATTTGTTTATGAAAAAGGCATGTAATGAATTTTATATGTAATGAAACCTTTCAAATATTCACGAAAACTAAATTTTTGAGAACAAATAGTTCTCATTTTTTATAGTTATTTTAATAAAATTAGCACTTTACTGACATGTCCTTTATTACATTGATTTGAGCGGAATCATTTTCACAAAGGAAAATATCGAAATATTTCACTCTCTTTGAACAATTGTATTGATGATGTACTATGTACAAATCAACAATAAAATTATATTCTGTTCTGTTCTTGGAAAAGGAAACATTAAAGTTTAAGATTTTTTATTATACAGATACTTTACTACGAGTAGACATGGCATTTAGCTGGATACACTCTATCGTGGTTGTCGTAGTGCTCACCTATCAAGTGTCATTTATTGACGGGTGTTCGTGCGAGTGGCCGGAGCCAAACAATGCAATCTGTACTTCAGACGTGGCTATCAACGCTACGGTAAACTCTATCTCCTACCCGGAGGGAGTGAACGATGTCACATACCCTGTCCGCTACCATCTCAATGTTCACAAAGTTATTAAGTAAGTAATATTACATTAAATCTATTTTTATAAACCAGCCACATACAATCAAATTTCAAAATTTCATATCTTTTTGCAAAAAAACAAAAAACAAAACAAAACAAACAAACAAACAATAGCAACAAAAAAAGTACTATTTTGTAAAAAAAAAAATTGTTGTTTTGTTTTTTGTTGAGATACAAGTGTATACGGAAGTAGTGGTAATTGCAAGCTACCCTCCATGCCCTCTATCACCGGCTTAAGCAGAATTCGGCAATTCATTTTGCGAAAACAACCGCAAATGTCGAAAAGGAATTTATTTAAATAAACAGTGGTTCGTTAAACTAGCAATATCTAAAGAAACAGGGTTTTAATAATAATAATCAAATAATGAAGATGGTGATAATAGTAATAATAATAATAATAATAATGTTATAATTGTTCGCAAAAAGAAGGGAGGTATACAGATAGATATTTATTAATAATAAGCAAATGTCGTTGGTCATATGGTCATGCTGAAAATGCGGAGATATGCTTACATATTTAGGAACCTATTGTCCTTTGTGATTCAACAGTTTATAGAACTGTTGATATATATATTATTTATTAGTATTATACATATATAAATGATTCATGTTTCTTTAACTGTAGTAAAGCAGGTGATGCCGGTGTCCCAAATGTCGTTGACTCATATTTACCAGGTAGTATGTGTGGACTACCTCTGACTGAAGGCGCAACATATGTTCTTGCAGGATCTGTTTCCCAAAGCTCATATGACGTCAACGACTTGGCGTTAGGTAAATACATGTACATCATAAAAGTAATTCAAATCGAAAGAAATAAATTATGGCCCACAACTGCTCAGACAATATATATTGAACACCTCATTAAAATATTTCCAGGAGTATAAATTTGCTTTTTAATATCATTCGTGAGACTGTAGAGCTTGGCGAACTTTGTGTTCGTGTCACATGACAACAATGAAATAAGCTGATAATAATGTGCCTGAGAAAATTCTTAAAATGTAACACCGATATCGTGAATGTTGCACTAAAGCAGAATTGGTTATCTCATAAAAAGTACCTGAATCATACTTTATCTGTTTCATTCAAGTATTATATTACAGGTTTAGTTTGAAAAATGTCTATCGTGCAGCGAGCATCAAAATAATAAAGAGTCAATTGCTTTGGTGTGCTTATTCATGTCGACGAAACACAAAATATGTCTTCAAAACGGTAGTCAGGTCGTCATTCTAATAAATGATCATTTGAAATAAAACATATTTATTGAAGTATTTGTAATGCTGGTTAAAATAAAATGCCATAGAAACCGTATTCCATTTTATTCTTTATGAACTATTTTCGCCCGTTTACTAACACTGTTACTGGTTTCGCTGATCGCTTTGCACAGATTCGGCGTTACTTTTGTTATATTCATATTCCTTAGTTACATGTACTTAAAATACTCCTATTTTTTAGTTGCTGAAAATACACGATATAAAGGTCAAAAGCTTGACAGTAGACTTCATAGTTGTAAAATTGGTTATTTACTGAGTACTAGTATTAAATGTTTGTGGATGGCATTGGTTAATTTATGATTAAATGCACAAACACTAGCACCAGTCAAAGAATTTAAATATGAAAACGGTATAATTCAGAAATTATGCAGTAACTTAAAAAGATGTTTTCATACAACGTTGATAATGTAACCTTGATTACGCCTTATACAAAATTTTATTTTACTGTTTTGTTTTCTCCTGCAGATATGGATTTATGTAATTTGCATATGTACGTTGGTGGTGGCAGTTTTGGATCATACCATGATTTGATCGACGACATTGTTGAGCAGATAGACTGCTCAAATCCACCACTGTATAATAACGAAGGTGATGAATCTTTCGAAGAGGTAAGTACATTGCAATATTATTTTGAAGTTCCCAGAGAGTCTGCTTTTTAAGATGAAGCATCGATAAAAAGTAATAACGATGATGCAACATTTAAATTTCTTTAACCAATTATTATTGTTATTATTTTATTTTACTTCTACATCTACTTCTGCTGCTGCTGTTGCCGCTGCCACTACCACTTCTACTACCACAACCACTTCTACTACCACTACCACTTCTACTACCACAACCACTTCTACTACCACAACCACTTCTACTACCACTACCACTTCTACTACCACTACCACTTCTACTATTACTACTTCTACTACTACCACCACTACCACTACCACCACCACCACCACCATCATCAATAATAATGAATAAGAAATCAACAATGTCTGCTTGATGATATTTTGTTATTTTTAGATAAAATATTTACATGATGTAGATATTATGTGTTTTTATAATTCAGTGGACAAAAAGAAATCAGCGAGAGCCATCCCCTAGACACAATGCAAAACTGAATTCTTTACGGGAACTCGGAATAATGAGTGACAGAAATAACCTGAATGTATAAGTGGAACATTAACAAAGAATGCGACAAGCTGTATACTATAAAGTATAGTTTACTGTGGACAAAAAGCGAGCAAGTACTATGCTGAAACATGTTTTGACGTCATTACTGTACTATTTTTACATTGTGGCTTTTTCGCTTCAATTGTTTTGCCAAGTGTCTTATATATTTCATACGTTGCAATGAACTTTTGTTTTATCTTACAAAGTTACTATCATTGATAGATACCATCATCAATGTTGGTTTCTGCCAATTAAGCTACAAGTGAATAAAGCTGCTCCGGTACTCAGAATTTAGGGGGTTAGGGTGTAATGACTGCCTTTGATTTGGATTATGCAAAAAACAATATAAGCCTAAATTAAGGTCTGGATTTAGCTTACGCTTTTTTGGTTAAATCATGTAAAACTTAACTCACGTCCCGTGCCCCATCTCGCCTGGAAAACAAGAAAGAAATATTTATTAGAGTCTATAATGACTTGTTAAACATACATATATAAGATATTATCTTGATTCAAGTAAGTTTGATCTTATTTCTCCTGATTGAAATGTGTCAGTCGGGAATACATGTATTTTGTTATTGTGTCGGCGAAGGGCTGAAGCTCGAGCCCAAATGGTGATTACGAGGGGTGTTCAAATATGAATGCAACAGGATCAATTTTCAGAAGTGCTTAACAAACAGTGCCAAAATAATTATCTCAATCCTTCAATATACTCACCGCAATATGATATACAAAGTTTTAGTCTTTTAATCCAAATTTTAAATGCGTTTTCATAATGTTTTCGAGGTATACTGTTCAGATACTGGAAAATGGCCGAATGGAGATTTTTTTTGCGTTTGATATTTGCTTCCAGCAAGGTGTTTTTTGAGCCTCAGAAAAAATTAAAAAGTCACAAGGAGCAAGATCTGGCAAATAAGGAGGGTGAGAAAGCACGCCAACATTTTCCTGTTTCAGATATCACCGTGTATATCCAGTAACGCCGGAATGTGAAAAGTACGCACAATTCGTGCAATAAGTAACGCAGAATTGTACATTAAATGGCGGATACCTGACAGGATTTCCAACGCAGTAAGTAAACTGGCCAATATATTTTTTATTAAACTGAACTGAAAAAAAGGAAAAGCCGCATATGGCTGCGAAGACATTACTCTTTATCCCTAATCAAGATTATTTCCACGAAATTGTTTACTTTTCAAGATCATCCGTGAAAATGATGGCTTGACCACTGTTTTGAGCGAGAGTTTGGCTTTCTTTCGACTCTTACAAGTACATTTTATGAGTTAACGCCGATGTACGCGAAAAGTGCTTCGCGGTAACGCCGAAAAATGCGATTTTTTCATATATATGGTACTAAGTGTTACACAAGTTTAACGCCATTAATCAGCGAGTATCAGCACTTTTCAAATATATTTTTGTGGGGAAACTTTAATTCATTTTATACAGAATTTATTTTTGTTTGCTTGATTGCGTAGAAAAAGAAGACACAGTCTCGAATCCGTCCCTGAAACCACAGAGCTATAATATTCGTAATATAATTAGTCTTTGTTGAAGTGAGTACAAAGCAAATTAAGGATACAACGAGGTAGCAACAGAATACCTATTGAGATGGTAGTTATGAAAATGGACTTTGTTAAATTATAGAATTTTTCATTGTTCTCGATCATTATTAATTATTTGACATAGTAAACAAGACGTCCAATTTTAGACCTTCATGACATGGGAAAATAAAATCTTCCACAAACACATCTCTAGTAGCTCTCCATATACATGTACATTGAGTTAAGAAACCAAAATATATTCAACCTATCTTTAGTCTATGGCACCCTTACCTGGTAAATTTATGAAATGGTTTCGCTCAGCTGTGAACTTTGAACAGATCATTCAAAGTCTGAGAGATTGGTATTAGATATTTAATGTATTTGTACAAATTAGCTACCTGAGTGAGCTATTGGCCACTCTGTATGGATATGACCTGACTCTGTACTGGTGGCCTCTTTTAGGGTCATTAGTCCTGTTAGTTTTGTAAACGTCTATAGTAATGCCTAGCAAAAGCTCTAAAGGTAGATTCATATGTTTTCCCATACAAATTACATATATAATAAGAAACCCCAAGAGCACGGTAAATCATTACCCCAAGAGTTATAATTTATTCAACTTTAGCAGAGGACAATAACGTTATGCTTTAACAAGTTTTGGGCATTATAGTTTCTAAGTAAAATATCTTTTGAATTCAAGTTACTTCCTTATATAAGAGAAAAAATAAATTAAATTATTAATCCATTTCCCAGAAGTTCACCAAGCAACTTGCTACAGCCAAATATTTCTTTTGGTTGGGTTTCACATCACGCCAACACAATAAAGGACATATGAAGACTTTCAGGCTTTACTGGTGCATTATTTCAGGCATAAAATATTCAGACACTTCTTCTCTTGATTGTTTTCTATGATTTTTATAATTCAATTTACATTATATTTGCAAAGGAAGTTAATTGCTCTTATTTTCCAACAAGATCAGACATGGGCAACATGTTTGAAAATAATAATTTATTTCGGGAAACAATTGTAAAATTGTATTAAGTTACAATATGCAATAAAAATGTTGAAAGTTTGTCAAGATCTAATTATCATATATTTCTTAATAAGTTAGGAAGAAAATACATTGACTAGGTCGCAAATAACTTGATTATATTCGTCGATAAAAGGCGTTAAACCTGTGTAATAATTCTATACCATATATGAAAAATATCGCATTTTCCGGCATTACCGTGAAGCACAATTTATGTAAATCGGCGTTATCTCATACAAACGACTTGAATCACATTTTATCCGTTTATGTTCAACTTTCTATATCACAAGAAGTAAGGTTTATGTCTTGCCTACCGACAATCGAAATTATACAGAATAATATGCATTGTTGTACTAAAAAGAGCCGACAAAAAGCCAAAATCTCACTTTCACGAAGGATCTTGAAAAGTAAACAATTTCGTGGAAATAATATTGATGAGGGATAAAGAGTTAAATCTTCGCTGCCGTACGGCTATTCTTTTTCTCAATTCGATTAAATAGAACACATATTGGCCAATTTACTTACCGCGTTGGAAATCCTGTCAGGTATCCGCCATTTATTGCACAATTCTGCGTTACTTATTGCACGAATCGTGCGTTATTTTCACATTCCGGCGTTACTGGATATACACGGTGGATATTCTCGTTTAATGGCCGCTTTGACGAAGCATTGTCATACAACAACACTACGGAAACCAGTTGCTGGTCGACGATTTTTGAAATATTTTTTTAATTTATGAAGTACATTGCCTTTGTAAAACTTGGTATTTACAGATTTACTCTTTGGTATGGCAATTTGAATAGCAGGACCTTGATTGGAAAAGAAAATTACATACATGACCTTTTTGACGCTCATGGTGCGTTTTGATATGCAAGGACTTTGACTTCCTTTGCTAGTCTGGTTCCCGGCGTACTATAAAATTTATTGACCGGAGAGAAAAGGGCAGGTAATCCAGACTATTCCTTTGCTTGCCCATATTTTGTTATATATCTTCCGCTTGGAATCATAAGAGTGAACCGACGTCTCATCGCCAGTGATGAAATTTGGGAAAGATCGATTGTTGCATTTAGGGAACTGTTCAAACAATTGTTTGGAGATTCTTACCCGAGCAAGTTTAAACTCTTTTGTAAGGAGATGGCACTCACCGTTCTCATTTTAAAATCATTTCTGAGAATTTTATGAGCAGCTCCTACAGAGATACCAACGCATTTAGCTATATACCTAATTGTAAATCTTGCGTCAGTAGCAATCAAATCCTTTACTTTTTTAACCATATTTGGCGAAGTTGCAGTTTTCGGACAGCGTGCATGAGGTGCCTCTTTTACTGAAATTATTCGAATACCGCCGTGAGCCAGATAAAAAGGAAAGTTGATTGTTCCCACGACATATTTCATTAAATATGCCTTTCGCCTGTATACCAAGAATACAGCGGTTCTTGATATACGACCATATTTGGTCAGTGAAAGGAGACCTTTTCCCTTAGCTTTAGCATACATGCACGAGTAGATAGCTTTAATCGAGCTATTGTCAAAGCTAGACTGAACTGATTTACACATGTATTGTATCAATTGAGAGCTAACACAACCATCTATGCGATTCATGTACATAGTTCGTGAAAAACGTGGTTAAAAGTGAGATATTGGCCTAGTTGAATTTTTATTTGAACACCCCACATATTGTATTTTTCGCCATTGTTTGTCCCGGGTTCAATTCTACAGAATTGGACATGGCGGCACATGTAAAGCAGCACATGTAAGGTTCCTATCCCTTGGTATAAGTGTGCTCGTCGACAATACCATGATGTCATGCCGACCCGACGAAAAGCACAAAGGATAATTAGTTGCTTAGTACATATTTTCAGCAGAATTTGTTCATTTTGGCAAACTGAAAAAATATTCATTGGTTATGCTTTAAGGGTTGATGAAAAAGTAGACGAATCATCGAAGTTTCGTTTGACCACTTTTCTGATCATTTCCGATTCACTATACTCGAATACATTAATAGTTATACATTTTTAAGAGAAATGTTGAGTTTTGCGCAAATGTCCTATTCAGCAGTACATAATACGGATTTGACAATTATCATAAACTTGAAGGGTATAATTTTTCTGAATATTTTCTGCTTTCTCAAAAGCAAGAAGAAGGTAATTAGTTACACATTTTCAGCAGAAAATGTTCAGTTTGACGGGACTGTCATCAGCTGTTGCCATCAATTAAAATATTTAAATTCAGTGTAATAATTTTGTGGCATAGATTTCTACATTTTGAGAAAATCTGTTTAGACATTAATTTCTTCAAAATAACAGTGAATTTTGTTGTTAAGGTGAACCATTTTTATTTACTTTAACACTAACACATTAAAATATTAAAGGGTCTCCACTTAGGACTTTTTTTACATAACGGGACTGGAAATATATTTTTTCCGAAATGTGTGCACAATTTGATGTAGGTCTGCGCCAATAACCTATGTGAAAATTTCCAGATCTCCACTTTTTCCATAATCATCATTTCTATTGTGCAAAATGACCCCAAAAATGAAAACTTTTCACTCAAATGAGGCTTAAAATAATACCCAATATCTAAATTCAATGTCTGAGTTTATATCTTTATTATCCTTTGCAGTTTTCAATTTTAAGAACTACACTTGATCAATGTAATAATTTCAACTTTGACGTTTTTAGGCTTTTTGACCTCTTTGGGACTCCTTTAATATTGATAACTGTAATGATATGTTTAAAACCAATCCCGGTGGTGCAAAAATCTTCAGGTGGAAGTTTATATATTACATGTATATATACATATGTCTGGCTCTCTATTCAAGGATCATGGGTTCGGACCCTAATTCGCTCAAACCCATGTTTTCGTGTAATTTTGTTGTGATTAATGCTTCATAAGATCACACTTTTTCCAGATTTTCACATATGGCAACAGTAGTGCTAAGTTCTAGGAATCAAACCCGAAACTGATAATATAAGTTGCTTGAACTTGTTTCCGAATCGAGTTCAAATAGATTTACATGTATTCGATTATTATATATACCTAGATATTTAGATATCTTTTATAGTAGTTCCTTACATGACTCGAATCCGAAATATTGTTATTTTTATAATCTCATATAAATTTACGTATTTCAGCTAGAATCCGGAATTTGTTTATACCTATATTTTAAATGTGCATGCAAACATGTATAACAACACAAAATTACAAATAGTGGTGAAGTGTATAGTAATGTAAACAATTACTTATAGCTCTAAGCAATGAAATACGCACGAAACGATATGGAAAATTTCAATCAGAGACATAATGCAAACTTTTGAGATATCGTACAGCGAACACCCTTCGTATATGGCGTGTAAGTTTACAAATGTGACACTATGCGTTTTAATTGCACACTATTATGTGTATTTGTAGTAAAATTTTTATACAACTTTCATTCTAACATGTAATGATCATGGTAATCCGAGATGTGATAAATTGATAAAATCCTTAACACATTCAAAATAATATTTTTTTTTCAATCTGGACAAAAGCATTTATCACTGTTATTGAAAATTTCTCTCGAAACATTTCCTGACTGAATGAGAGTGCATGACATAATATAGATTACACAGATGTGATGTCTGATCATGGTCACTTACTGGTCACTTGGGTAGAAGATTTAAAGTATTATTATTGTTATATTTAACTAAATTCTCCACAAGCGCTGTGCGACAAAAAAGATATGAGCCGCGTCACGACAAAACCAACATAGTGGGTTTGCGACCAGCATGGATCCGGACCAGCCTGCGCATCCGCGCAGTCTAATCAGGATCTATGCTGTTCGCTATCAGTTTCTCTACTAGTAATATGGTTGCGGATGCGCAGGCTGGTCTGGATCCATGCTGGTCACAAACCCATTATGTTGGCTTTGTCGTAACGCGGCTCATATGTTAATGGATGGAGTCAGTCCCATTCGCAAGTCATTAAAATGACTTTTGGCCTGATTCTACCCATGCTACCATTAAAGTCCAAGATTACAAGTTGTAGTGGTTAATTTTCTCTTTTCTTTTGGTTTTGTTTGTTGTTGTCTTTTTTACCCTCCGGTTCACTACCAGTAAGCCAGTTTGAATTCATCGGCACATTTCAGTCACAGTATCGATCCTGTACAGACTGTTAAGGAGTTAACCAGTACTTATGTCTTCACTTTTGCAAGGAACTGTTTTTACTTCTGCTTTTACATCTGTACATGCCAAAGCACATCGTTATCGCTATAAGTCCTAGGATTAACATTAATATACATAGAACGCGGGTGGTCACCTGATTCCCGTGGTAGATCCCGTGGTATATTTGTCCCGTCTTATCATGTTCTGCAGTATTTGCCATTCAATTAGTACAAATCATGAAATTTTCCTTAAAGGTCCATTATGCCTCTGAATTGCCTTTTTTCTTTATTTCTCAAACAGCTTTTTATTTTTGGTGTACTTTTGTAGTTTCCAAACAGTTTGACTAATTTGATCAACTCATTCACCAATTACCTGAACCATTTTTTAATTCTGTCATTTTTTAGCAATAAGTACAATTTAAGTGATTTAGTATTTTGTATGATAGTCAAAATACAATTTTATTTACATTTTGCTACTTTTGTGACAAACTATTTCACTAGTTTCCTCAGGTAACCAGCATCAAATTATTTAAATGTTTTAAAACCCATGTTTCCTCTTACTTAAAAGTAAAAAAAAATTCGTTTCTGAGGTAACATGTGCCTTTAAAATGGATAAATGGTTTTGTTCAAACTTGAAAATGGATGTGGTTATTGTAAGTGCACAATTCAAAAAACAATTACATTACAAAAAATTATTAACTGCGCAGTTATTTCAAACTTCCTAGTTTCATGTAAATTTAAAGAACGTTTTAAAGTTAAATTGAGTGTGAAGATAATCGTTAGATCATATCTTTTTCATTTTGATAGCTTTTAAAGTCAGGGTACTGAATATGAAAAGTATTAACTTTATGATGGATTTTACTGTAATAACTGTGTTACTTATGTACTCGTGCTTGTCTGCAGGTATGACTTTATTTTTTATTGGCTTTTATTAAAGCAGCACTCTGAGATGAACCAAAATATATTTAAAACATTCAATAAATGATAAAGGAAAGTAAAAAAATTCAAATTTCAAGTCATAAATTTATGTAATGTGCGATTAATGACTGATTTTTAAACATTTTCATCGCTAATTTTCTACTGCGCGACTAACACAGTACGGGCTATTTTTGCATATTTTGACCTCTTGTTTGGTTATTCATGTAGATAAAAAGTGAGGTTTGTAATGACTTAATTACATTTTTTTCACTTCACATGATTTTATTCAAAACAAAAATTAATTTAATTTCCTGAAAATTAGCATCAATCATGTGGCATTCTACTTTAAAGACGTGATCTAACATTTAAACACATGATAACATTTCTCACAAACAAAATCACACTTATTCTAATGATCTGTATTTCTAATAGTTGCTGGTCAAGAAATATTAGCTTGTGATAGTGGCAAATGGGGATCAAATTGCACGAGCACTTGCCCCGATTTATGCTCATCTTATGGATGCGACAGAGCGACTGGCTTTTGCTATAGATGTGTGAACGGTTTCCAAGGAAAATACTGCGACATACCATGTCATTTCCAATGTCCGTCTTGTGACCAATACGACGGAAAATGTCCAAATTGCTATTCCGGCTGGTATGGGGATTTCTGTGACAAAAAGTGTGGCGTTAATTGTGTCAGTTGTACTAAGTCTACCGGGAGTTGTAACTCGTGTAATTCAGGTTGGCATGGAGATTCATGTGAGTTAGCTTGTCCAATTAATTGTAAAAGCTGCCAAAAATTAACCGGCCAATGTTTGTCTTGTGAAGATGGCTGGTATGGAAACGAGTGTGAATTACCTTGCTTGTCCGGGCCAGGTTGTGCAAGAAGCTACTGCACGAAGTCAACTGGCGATTGTGGTTCTTGTAAAACCGGATGGTATGGAACGAAATGCGAGCAACAATGTCGGAACTGTTTCGGTGCTTGTTCTAAAAGTTCTGGCTCATGTACTTACTGCGTTTCAGGATTTTGGGATGCAACTTGTTCACAGAAATGTACAGGAACGTGTGAAATGTGTAATAAATCAGACGGAAAATGTTTGCTTTGCCCGGACAGATATTGGGGGCCTAGTTGTTCTAGACTCTGTAGCTCAGAAAATTGCGACAGATGTGATGTTAATACAGGAATATGCAAAAAATGTAAAACAGGATACTGGGGTAAGGCCTGTGAGACGCAATGCAATACTTGTCCTGACAACAGGTGTGATATTTCATCCGGCCTATGCGAAAACTGCCAGGACGGATATGCAGGGGAATATTGCAACATACATTGTAACACATCTAGATGTTTAAATTGGAACTGCAATAAAAGGCAGGGGTTTGCCTGCTCCTCTTGTAAAAATGGGTATTGGGGAACAGTTTGTGGAAAAAAATGTATCGG